CTGTGAGTATATTTAAATAATAACATTATTACTTATAAATTCATCACTGAGAAAGTAGCATTACAGACCATGTACATTTTTTAAAAACTTATTACTGTTTTGTCTTATGCAACTTTTCTTGGGGTTTCAAGTTAAAGGAGAGAGAGAGAGGGGGGGAGGAGAGAGAGAGAGAGAGAGAGAGAGAGAGAGAGAGAGAGAGAGAGAGAGAGAGAGAGAGAGAGAGAGAGAGAGAGAGAGAGAGAGAGAGAGAGGGGTAGTGATTTCTGAAAGTTTTGGAAGATGGCACTCAGATGAGCCACATAAATAACTTAAAAATAGTGCCCACTTTCACTCTCAAATATGCCCTAATGGATTTTTTTTTTCACTCTCAGAAGTATACACTTACCTATGGATTACAACTCCCTTAAAAAATAGGAGAGTATAATATCACAGTTAATTTATTCCAGGTTTCTATTTCCATTACTCTCAAGGTCTGCCTCTGTCACACCTTGAAACTCTAACTCCATGGTAACATTATCTAGATAAGCTGGGTCGGGATAGCCATGACCATGGTAGTTTTCCCATTCAGTTTTATGGTGGATTTCATTCCATGTAATGACATTTTCCAGGCCACTGGTTATGGATGTGCCAACTGTGAATATCAGACGTCTCTGCCATGCAACCTCCAACAGCCGTAGGATCTAAAAAAGAGGAAAATAATTTGATGTAAAAATGAACTGATATCTGATTACTTCAATTTAACATAAAAGCTGATTACCATCACATAATTTTTTAACACAAAGGCCTTAAAATTTTCTCTTTTGTTTCTAGGGAAATTGTTTAAAGTCTTCACATAATCTAAACAAAGTAGTACAGAGTAAGAATATCACTAATCACTGTGCAAAAAAGAAGAAGAATATAATGTACAGTACAGTGTACAGTGTACAGTTTCAGTTTCCACCAAACACTGTGAGAAAAGTTTATTTTACTTCAAAACGTAATGTAATCATTTCCAAAGAAAGTGAAAGCGACAGAGATGGCTGAAGACAATGCCCGCACACAGAACTGCGAGAAGGAGTTACCTTGTTTCCTCTTTCATTATCTGGCAAGAAGGCGCGACGTGGGAAGGCATGTGCTCGGTAGGGATGGCCTGGATTTGGGTGTTCTCGTCCTTGTATGCCGCCTCCAAACCTATAAGAGTGGAAGTTTGTACATAGATGCAAAAAGAAGGGGGAGGGGGGAGGGAGGGAAGGAGGGAGAGGGAGAGGGAGAGGGAGAGGGAGAGGGAGGGAGAGAGAGAGAGAGAGAGAGAGAGAGAGAGAGAGAGAGAGAGAGAGAGAGAGAGAGAGAGAGAGAGAGAGAGAGAGAGAGGGAGAGGGAGAGGGAGAAAGAGAAGGAGAGGGAGGGAAGGAGAGAGGGAGGGAGAGGGGGAGAGAAAGGGGGAGAGAGAGGGAGAGGGAGAGAGAGAGACAGAGACAGAGACAGAAAGAGAGAGGCAGAGAGAGACAGAGAGAAGTTGTGTGCACGTGTGTAAACATGCACACACACAGATAGATAGTGTGTATAAGTTTACAAACTATTCACTTGCATTAAATAATGAACAAAATAAACTTGTTTTAAAAAGAATTATGAATATTTAATAATTTCTGTTCTGTTAAAGAATGGGGCATAACTGTCAAAGAACTTCATAGCATTAAAAGCTTTATGAAACACCAAAACAGTTTTTCAAGGTAAAGACAAGAAGTCTTTAAAAGAGAAGAAGGGAAAGAAAGAAAGAAAGAAAGAAGGAAAGAAAGAAAAAGAAAGTAAAAGAACGAAAAAGAAAGAAAGGGAGAAAGAAGGAAAAAAGAAAAGAAAGAAAGAAAAAACAGTAATAAAAAGTATTAACCTCATGAGGGAAGAAGAAGAAGAAGAAGAAGAAGAAGAAGAAGAAGAAGAAGAAGAAGCAGAAGAAGAAGAAAAAAAAAAACTTGATGAACAGTGACCACAATACCTGTATGTGATGATGATCGTCCCGCAGTCAAATCCAGGAAGATTATCATCAACAGTCATGATTTCCATTACTCCGTCAGGCTGATTCCCTAGTCTCACACCATGTACAGTTTTACACATAGGACACGGAATAAAATATTGCTTTGATTCTGCCATCATTCTCGTGCATAACTTGTGAAGTGAGTGGCCACACTTAGTCAACTTGACAACGCCTTCATCTGCCAAAGGAATGAGGATGATGTAAGGAAAACTTTTATCATAATTGATGAGAAATAATGAAGAAAAGAAGGTTAATAAGGAGTTTAGGATGTTACAAAAAAAATAGTAATATAGTTTAGATGGCATAGTATAAAGACTAAATGTAAAAAAAAAATGTCATTTACTGTCTAATTCTCTTGGAAACAGATGATACTGTGAATAATGAAATCCTGAAAGACATATAGTACTCAAAAGCTGAAAATCAAAAACATAAAGATACACTCTGGGAAAATATGAAAGGGAATGAGGTATGGAGCCTCTGACATTCCTAATTATAACTATTTATTAATGAAATCACTATAAAAAAAATAATGGTGATGAAAAAAATATAGGAAAACATTTACAGCCTGCTTGTTTTTATTATGGATGACAGTTATATTTTTCTGGCATTTTTTTTGTCTTGAAGAATTCTGACCTCTATACCAACTTCAAACCTTTATTCCTGATGTTCCCTAAACTCTTGAAAAGTTTTGCACAAGGGAAATGCAAGAACAAGTGGATGAAAGGGATTTAAAATAGTTCAAGCAAAAAGAACACTTTTAAAATAAATGCTCTTCATATATGTGAATCACCATAAGCATAACAAATGAAAGGATTTTATGTAGTACATATATCTGTAGAGGAAGGTCTTTATTTTTAGGCCTAATGGAAGACTCGTAATTGTACGGTGTCAAGCAATCACATAGGCCTGTGGACTTGTGGCGCTACAGCAAAGAACAACAATCCTCCACTAATTATACTTTAATTGGGTAAGAACTCGGACTGTCCTATCTTGTCGAAAATAAGCATGATGGAAATAAATTGGCATTTACTAGTGTATCTAAGAGCACTGAAGCCTGTGGAGGAATAACTGAATATTTACACTACTTACAGACACCCTTTTATATAATTGATTCATACAAAAAAAGGTAAGCTGAATCTTTTATGAAAATAAATGAAAATATATACACTTATTACCATCTGTTACATCCTGACTGCTACAATCACTTGGACACTGGAGGCTACACATGCATATTGGACAAGGCTCATCTGGTGGATTCAAGTCTGATGTGGTGTACGCCTGCAATAACTGCAACACAAATTTTTTCCAAAATTACAAGACTAAAATTGCTCAAACATTTATTCTGGGCTTTTAGAATTGTATCTGAATTTGGAGGGATTGTAAATCTGAGGCGAGTTAAGTTTACCATAAAAAATGTCAATTATAAGGAATTGTTGCATGATATCTTCAGGATCTGGTTAACAACCATGCAAGCTTTAGTAAAGACATCACAGCAGTAAATTATTTGTTTAAATACTGGTTTAGGATTACAATTGTTGTACATGAAATTTATTTTTCAGCTTTAAACACATATCTTTTATCTAGTATCCATTTATATATATATATATATATATATATATATATATATATATATATATATATATATATATATATATATATATATATATATATACACATACATATATATATAAATATATATATATATATATATATATATATATATATATATATATATATATATATATATATATATATATATGTGTGTGTGTGTGTGTGTGTGTGTGTGTGTGTGTGTGTGTGTGTGTGTGTTTGTGTGTGTGTTTGTGTGTGTGTTTGTGTGTGTGTTTGTGTGTGTGTTTGTGTGTGTGCTTGTGTGTGTTTGTGCGTGTTTGTGCGTGTTTGTGTGTGTGTGTGTGTGTGTGTGTGTGTGTGTGTGTGTGTGTGTGTGTGTGTGTGTGTGTGTGTGTGTGTGTGTGTGTGTGTGTGTGTGTGTGTACACTTACAGTACATATATACATACATACACACACACATATATATATATATATATATATATATATATATATATATATATATATATATATATATATATATATATATATATGTGAGTGTAAGACTGTATGTATATGTATTAGTGTGAGTGAGTTGCAAGTTGCGTGTGTGCAAACCTCCATGTATCTAATTACCTCCTCCACAGCAGACGTTAATGTCTGGGGCACAGGAGGGGGGTTTGGCACAACCCATTCCCTCCGCCTTTCCCCTGCGACGCGAAGCGAGGGGCCGGTGCTTCCAGGGACACAGTGCCTTCCACTTCTTAGGGTCCTCATAGTGTTCTGGAAAAAATAATAATGAATAAATAAAAAATAATAGTGACAAAAAAATATGAGAAAAGAAGCCGATCTAGATAATTTGATGATGGAAATGACACAGAAGTTAAATTGATCGAAAGGATTGTAATACTATCCTTATTCGTAATTGACAGTTACTGGTTTATATGAGAGGTACCAGTTAATAACTCATTCTTTAATAATGTGAGTAGAAAAAAAATTCTGTTATCTTAAATTTATGAGAAAATCCTGAACTTCGTATACAAAAACCGTAGTCACATAATGATAATACTATTTTTAAAATAAACTATATGTATTATTGGATACACAGTGTTCTTGATCTGATATTCCTCACCTGACGAGTTTCAAATATAAAATAAATAAAATAAACCACGCCCAAATAGACGTATGCAGTGTAAGCACTGTACCTGCGTTTCCCTCCCTTGTAGGCTGCCCTTCACAGAACACCAAAAACCAGACAGTGACTTCAGCATGCAGGCTAATATCTTCAATTTCCAGTCAAAAAGTTGAATGGGTTGGCTACTACGACCTCTCAGCACCGTCTTCTAGGTGAAACTGAGTCTCTCTTATCAAGTCTCCAGCAGCTGCCACGCATCCTTACAAGTTACAACATAACACTAGGACGACAAGACTGAACTCGC